GTTTGTATTTTACTGATAATGGGTTGTATAAATATGGTGCCAGCACGTCTTTCGTAAACAAATTAAATCATTGTTTAAGCCTTCTTTCACCCATCATACAAACCTTTCATACAGCGTGAGCCCCAAGATAGTCTTATCTCATGGGAAATAGCATGTTAGAACCGGTAACATTAAACACCGTGTACTTAACAGCAATAGTACGTAACAAATCACAAATAGTATTTTCAGCTAACATGTAACAGTTCAAGTGTGCATACAAATGTATTTCGTTTTGTGGGCCCCAACATCATACGTATCCATTCAGCCTAAGAATCGTCTGTTAATTCACCATCCCCTTTCTTCCGTTTGCCCTTCTGGGAACCATTAGCAAATTTAGAATTACCAGATTTCCCAGTCAAAAATGAAACGACATTGACACATGACATTTACTGATATTTGTGTTTAGTGTTTGTTTTTGTTTTGTTTTTTGTTTCAGGTATTAGTTGTGATGCCTGACAGATGTTTACCGCCTTTGTTGTTATGGATGTTCCCTATAATGATATAAAATATTTATGTTGATGTATTAGACTTCACGTAAACATGTTTATGAGATAATTATAACTATCAGGTATTGTTCACATTAGTCTGTCATATACGTGCGTGTTTCTGAAGTGTGAGCTCAATTAAAAATGTCACGACTATAGTTCAACAGATCAGAGACAAACTGTATAGGTATAAGCTGGTTCAGTTCTGTGGTTAACATTCCAACCGCGAAAATATCAAACCACAAAACGATGTGCTCGCTACACTTGATACAGAATCTCCAGGACTCATTCGTCAGCATTCAGTATGTAACCAGTACTCTGATAGAAGCCAACCTAGGAACGATGCTTATTGAATTATTGGTTTATTTATTTATTTATTTATTTGTTTATGGTTTTCATAATCCTACAGACAGCTGCTAAGGATCAAGATTATCCATTATAATTTCGGATGGGAAATGCAAATAGCAGCAAACTGCTTTGTTTCGAAATGTAGACAGTCTGTTACAAACGTTCAATAAAATCTTAGAGGCAAGATAGCCAAGAGAAACCTTTGTCATAAGATTCGCATGTCTGCAGAATTATGCACATCGTGCCAGAAGATATGCAAATGGGAGTCTCCCGGGTCAATGATTCACACAAATGTATCCCAGAAGACAAGTCCATGTTAATTTTTATAGGCTTTCGGGCACTTCCGGTAGAAGTAGGACTGGTGCAACATGGTGCGTTTATAAGGAAAGTCTAAGAAAACGTGAGACGAAATCGAATATTTTTACATGCTTTCGTGTCACATAGATTTTATTGAAAAAAATCGTTGGCCTTGGGCAGCAGGCTAGGAACCAATATAAGCCCTCTCCCTAGGGTGGACAAATGGATACATGTAACACATTGCATTTACCGATCACACATTCACTGCAACACGAACGGGTATCTTTATGTTCTACAAGCTTCATTAGCAATACCGATACGTGTAGTTCTCACGTTGCTACATTCAAAACATGTTATATACAGTTCAAATATCGCTGTGCTGATCGTTACAGATCAGATTTTGAATTTGAATTCATTGAATTCAACTTGACTTGCCATGCAGTGACCTACATTGGCCAGTTGCCGTGCAATGACCTACATTGGCCAGTTGCCATGCAATGACCTACAATGGCCAATTGCCATGCAATGACCTATATTGGCCAGTTGCCATGCAATGACCTACATTGACCAATTGCTATGCAGTGACCTACATTGGCCAATTGCCATGCAGTGACCTACATTGGCCAATCGCCATGCAGTGACCTACATTGGTCAATTCACCTGAGAAGGAATTACATTGACTGCAATGCAATAGTTCAACATGATAATTTATTGTTTACAGCAACAACTCAGTAACGTTCATGTGTACTCTACCTCTCTACGTAAATTTTATTGGTATGAGGTGCCATTCTGTGCCCATTATTGGCAATTCAGTATTCTGAAATGATAATTCACTGTTATTCAATGATAATTTATTAAACAGCTATGTCCTGTAGTGTGGTCCATGACGTACTTGTCAGTTTATATAAGACATGTGGCGCTTTCTCTATTTCTCCTTCCTATATAAATACGCGTCTTGTCTAAGTATCTACTCCCCCGCGTGATCTTATCGAACAGCTCGGCCATTTCGTTTGATTTATTAGAAATGGGCCTTTGGGCGACCAGGACCTAGACTTGTCGGTTACATTAGACAGAGATTGTACAATGATGTCATTATTGGTCGGAGGCCAGACGGGCCGTGATCGGTAAAGAAAAGCTCTGCAAACTTGGGCTCTTATTTTCGATCCGGGTCACGATTAATCCCATTCGTTTATTTTGAGTTATAACGAGGCTATCGAGATTTCAGGTCCTATGCTTAGAAGGGAAGTTCGTTCGTAAAACACCGTTCGCCCTTTACGGCTTTCGATCAACTTTAGGAATGAAAATTGTGTGAGTGATGTATCGATTTAAAACAAATTTCCCCCGAAATTTAGCTGTAAACGGTTCATTAGTGCGAGGCTGTACTTATTGGATTTTTCGTAAAAACAAATCGAAAGGTTATAAGCTCATTGTAGTGTTGGTTAGACAGATGGTAACCGCCAGTCAATAACTGTCAGTAAGTCTAATGGATTGTGTGTTGCTCTAGTGTTTACCTTCACGTAAAGCCTTTGATTGGTCGCACTTTTACTGGAAATCACCACAAATCTTAATATGTTCTAATATTGTTACTTAAGGCAATATGTGTTGAGTCACTGATTCAGATTGTCGAAAAACAAACTTAATTTTTGTATATTTTTTTAAACGTTTAATCGACATTTCTTAAAAAAAGATTAATGCTCTCGGTCTTGGTAAAAAGAAAATTTCCAATTATGGAACTGGAAATTAAAAGCTCGTGGAAGAAAGCAATACATATTATAAACTGAAACCTATTGAGAGCCCCCCACCCTCTTGCTACAGAATTTAACAATTTTACAAATGCGTCTATGTGAAATATATGTAAAAGACATTTTTTGTTCCAAGTCCAAGTCAAAATCCAGGTTTCACCTGACACGACAGATAAGTTCATAATTCATTTTTTTAAAATAGCAATGAATTCTTTTCTGAGTAGGTAAAATACAGTTCATCTTTGGGAAATGTTGGTGTAAGTATTCATTTGAAAGGAATTTAGATGGATGACGTCGGCAGAGCCGGAACAGGTCAATTGCTATTTAGACGAATACTAGAAACACACTTCGTATGATACTCCATAGTGTACACATACATGGAGAAACATCACTCAATAGTATCTTTAGTGTCGTTAAGACAGTCAAGCGTCCAAGCAGTCAGAGACTATAATTTATTTGTTTGTTTTATACCTTCTATGTAACCTATTAAAAAGTCCAAGAAATGTAAAACACTCAATAAGAAAACCAGGGTAAAGAGAATTAACCACCAGGTATTGTAACGAGCACTAAAATCAATTATTTCTGTATCGCACAAGGATTGAGGTGAGTATTGCCTTACGACGTCCTATCAAAAGCCATGGATATTCCAGAACGGCTTCTTTATTTGTGTGTCCGAGGTGACTGATTGTGTGTGTGTGTGTTCGGCAGGCTGCGATAGTAATCCTCCTTACGACAGTGCAGAACTGATGCCGGCTTAATAGTTGCCAAAGGCTCCCAGCAGGACACCACGCCCGATCACATTGTACTGACAACGGACAAACCAGTCGTTACACTTCCACTTTTGGTCGTTTAGCACGAAGTAGTAATTTGTTTGAAAGATGTAGTTGTACCTTAGCTATACCGTAATTGTACTTTAGCTATACCGTAGTTGTATTTAATTATGCCCCATTTAAACATGCTAATTAACCATGTATATGACATATGAGTAACGCTCAGTCTGTTTATTTTCTTTCTACGTTGACACAAACACCTTACCTGATACATTCCTGATACCAAATGCATAAATTGTTGCAAAAAACCGCAATAACATATTCATATATATATATATGATTCATCCACTGATCTATGTTATATGCAAAGTGCAATTTCAATTCATCATATACACATTATTCAAATACTTTCAACTGTTATCAATTAATATGTATATGTATGACTGTCACCTATCATTTCAGTACGAATGCTTGATCAAATCATTCGTTTCCCTAATAATGAATTTCCGATGAAAAATTTGCCCAACCGTTAATGTCATTTCTAGATGTGTAATAGGTAGAAAACGCTGAAGGCAAAATGTATGAAAAGCAGGACAGAAAAAAACGGGTCACAGGGCAGATGTTCCCTATGTAGGTGGTATTGAAGATAAACTGACATTTGTGCCAGTATTCCAAGATGAACGCGTATCTACATTCTATTGGAGTATACCACGGTTTAGGTCCACAATACCGCATCCGCCTACAATCGCATCCTGTATCGTATATATATGCATTCATTTGTTCTAGGGAAATTGAATCTGTTGTACAAATGCTTGTAGGATGTGTCACGTTTTGGAATAGGGAACGGTCTTGAATTCGAAGAAGATTGGATACAGTCACTGTTTCAGTTTCCACGATAGCTGTTTTGCCATTGGTCCCCAAGGCCTCGCGCGCAGTACGTGACCGCGAGACTAGGGTCGTGACGTAGTTATAGTGGGAGTTTGTATTGACAGAAAGTGAATTAGTTTCGTGCAACGTAATCAACTAGCGAAATCGGCATCCTCTAGCTTAAGACAAATACGGAAGCCTACAAGGTCATTTTGTTATGATATCTCAAGGTTGGGTAGAGAGAAAGCCGCGCAGATAAGAAATATGTAAACCATTTCATACAATGAGATCAGAAACCTCCGAGATACTACACTTTTGTTACAATAGTGTGTTGATGCTATAAAAGTATCATCAGTGGTCCCGTCGTCCATATCATATTATCCGAAAACCGAAATAAAAAGTTTGTGGTTTTGGGGATATGCGCATTAATTCACTTTAAGCTATTTTTTCAGGAAACGTAAGACTGCGTTGACATGCTTGATCCCGGTCTTTGGTGGACACGACTGGATAAGCAGCAATTTTGAGAGGATGTTTCAGATAGAGTACAAGTCAATAGTAGCATACCCTGGATCGTCGGCAAGCAGCTGCTATGTAAGTAACCTGACTGCTTTACATTTAATACGTGGTTGCTCTAAATCCATAAATTGATATGTGCTCGCCATGAAAAACATAAAAATTGACATTGATTATAGGACTAGTAAATTTGTTGGTAAGATTGATACAAAGCAAGTGCCATCGAAAATGCATATTTTTGGAAAACCACGAAATTGAATCCAACGAAAATATCTTATTTTACAGTATGAGGATGTCCCTAAAGGGTAACCAGTAGCCTCTACCCCACTGTGTTTTATACATTGGTATGGAACTGTTGGTAGAGTCGCCTTCTGGAGGGAGATTCCAAAAGGATTATCATTGCCTTTACCCCTTGGGTCTTCCGCGGCACATTAGTTCCTAACTGTTAAGCGAGTCGCCTTCTTTTTTAATATCTCGACAGGTTCTGATAGATTATTGTTTTGTTTTAATTCGTCTTTTATTAATTGTTTGTTTGTTTTTTTACTATATTCCACTATCAACCATTGTAATATTCCTCAATATTTGTATCGATCCAAATTTTCTGTGTTTATATCCACTTTCATAGCATAGACTAGTTCGTAAGAATACCATTCAAACTACACCGTTTACCGCTCTTGTCTTCCGTATGATTGCATCAATGCACTCCGGATTTCAGGATATCGGTGATACATTCGGATAGGATATTCTACATTGGACCCATGCCTGCAACTACAATTGCCTTTCCGGATGTTAGTAGAACGATTAAAGGCTGCTGTCGCGAGGCATGTAGCTGAAGTGGTCGGCCTGTTGTGTTAGCGGTTCCCTAAGGATTTAGTACGCTTTGCGACAAACTGCTCGACAGCGAAGGCTGTCAACCAGTTGCCCATCCCTACCACGGAGTCAGATACAATTGATCACACAGAGACAAAATACCAATAGGTGGCGCTAAACAACAAAATACCAAAAGGTAAAAACCATTAGGTGATGCTACACAACAAAATACCAGTAGGTGGCGCTACATAGCAAAAACCAAAAGGTAGCGCTACACATTCTTTTTCAAATATGTTGAGTAATATTGTATTTTGAAGTTGTATGTGATTTATAAACTGAATAGTAAAGATCGATTTATGCTCGCTGATTAGAACCAACGCTTCCCGAATTTCAATGAAATAACCCAGAGTCGTCAACATACCGTATTGGTAAGTAGCTGATACTGTAATCAGTCTGGTGAGAAACACACATGGTGAACTATGGAGTTTTAAATGGGTAATTCTATGCTATTTGGGAGGTTGGACTTACCTGAGTTGTGTTAGACAGGGCACTGTATCGCCTTAGACATTAATAAATAATGATAAACATTGATTCGTGTCTTTATTATTTTGAGTGTTTTGGGTGTCGATACAAGAGCAGCGATCTGACTTAACTCTACCTAATGGACATGTCTAAACACCCTGTTTGAACTCTTTAAGATACTGTAAATTTTAAAAGCCAATGTAACGAGACGCATCTTTTTTTCTTCCTTTTTTTAAATTGAAAAAAAAAAAATTATTTCTTTATTAATCTTTTATCGTGTGATAGAAAGTATATTAAAATATATACAAAATTATCATTTGATAAAGTTATTGGGTTGATCGACTCATCTACTTCATGCCAATCAAATGTAGGCTTATTTTCCTTATAGGCTCTTGGGCCCTTGCTTACCACTCCCTGAAGAACGACACAGTTGTATAACACAATTTTAATTAATAATTTCGTCATACATTTTAGTTATTGAAACGTTCATATTTGAAAATACTTTAGTTACAGCATCACAAAAGTTTGGACTAGTGTTGCACAGTATCAAGGTATCCAGATTCTTGTCATTAATTGTTATGAAATGCCTTAACATGGATATTTTTATACTGAAATTAAAAATACGAAAGATCAACATGAGTATACGGATCGTGTATATGTTACAAATAGCAGAACATGATCAAATTTGTACTCCAAGTCCGGTTTGAATTGTTCCGAGTTAAAGCTTTTTTTATCAGATAAATTAATTTGTTTTAAATAGCTCACTGTCGAATTTAATTAACAATTAGGCATCTGCGTGAGACAAATTGGGTCGACACCCATTTTCCGGTTTACAGCACAGCGACAACTGGGTTACGCACCGTTATGCACTCAACACACCTTCTGGAAAACGGTGATTTGATAAAGGATTTCACATCCGTATTGTTTGAATGTCAAAGTTTTACTGAAAAGATCTAGAAAACAAGACGATAAATCTTATCTAGAATTATGAACTGTGACCAGTTCTGCATTTTAAAATAGATTTTTTGTAAAATTTAAATTCAAACCGCATAAAAGCAAAAACATGTTAGAAAACATATAGAAACATTAGCTGCTGGTTTCTAATGGACATTATTCATACGTAATACAATCGAATATTCAAAGTCATGAAAATCAATAACCTGTTGTTTCATTCTTGTCTCTCTATATCAAATATGTAAATGTACCTACATTTAACCCTCTCCAGTTAGCAGTCAATGTGAACACCAACCATGTCCCATCGATTTTTACATGAAGGCGTTCTCGATCTGTGGAACTGCTTCTTGTAAATTGTTATATATATAGACTGAAGGTGTCACCTTGAAACATTACAAAACCCGAATGTTTAATCTGATTTAGCCATCACCTTGTATGGTATAAAAATATTCGATGGTTTATATTTTGTAGGTCTCTCCAAAAGTTCAGCAAAAAGAGTGTTTTTTTTTAGATATGAAAGGACCGTGGTTTTCTCTGTTAATAGCTTTTCAATGAGTCTAATTTTCGCGAAAACAGAGGAAGAGAATCTACTCGAAAATAACACCACTTACAGTATATGAAAGTATTGTGACAATGGACTGGTAAAACAAATTCCAAAATAATACGTCTGTATGAAAGTTATTGCCAATCGTCCTTGTTGGCAAGGATGGAAATGAGCAAGGGTTAAGTGATTTGAGAAGAGATTAGGATACCACTTGGTCGGGCTGGTGACGTTTCGTCTTTTTACGTCCGCTCAAGAAATTAAACCGCGGTTGTCTTGGTGTACGGCGATTGATATTGTCATACAAATTAAATTATCGTGGTTAGGGCACTGGAAGGAAACTCACAAAAATTGACATGATTTTAGACGCCGGATTTCATTGAATTGGAACTAGGTTATCATATCCTTATATGGAATGTGGAGATAAAATCTCGATAAGTGTTTACGGCTGTAGTAAAATTTATTACTATTAGACAGCTGTTGCAATAGACAAGCACGTGCTGCTTTATCTACATGTATTGTATTGTCCAGTTTATATGACACCAGATGGCGCCGGTCCACACCAATGCATTTTAGCGTGTCTATGAAACAGAGCATAAAAATGATAGATTTTGGATTTATCTTACCAGATCAGGTCAGTGTTTTACCATGATTCTGTATAAACCAAGGTCAGCCCTTCTTGTATGATGGTTTCCGAGTGCGGATAAACGTTGCTTGTACTACAGCTCAAGGCTTTAGTAAATATGGACCATTTACGTTTTTCAGTACTATTATATAAACAGAATATCAAATATTTATAACCACTTATATATCCCCAACATATGAAAGACCCATTTTTTTCAATATAAGGAGATATTAGTAAAGACGGCGCCTGAAAATTGTTCGACCCAGCCAAGTGCTATCTATTTACTGCAACGGTGTAAGAAAGGCTCGCAAAACATTTTCAATATGAAAAAAAGTCTCAAAGCCGTCTCTACAAATGAGTTCTGACAAGACATTTTAAATGTTAGCAACAGACAAAAATCTTCTGCCGATTGGCTGATTGCAGCCTTTTTGACTCTCTAAAAATAGATCATTCTTTAGATGTCTTCCACAAAATCTTTGAAAAAATTGGCATCTGTTAAGACTTTCAAATTCATCTCAATAGCAAACGTTACAAGAACACCAAAAGATGAAAATGGCGTCTCATGATATTCATAATAACAACAGACATGTCTGGTTCAATAAAACTCAAACTCAAATTAGGCAAAACGAGGATATGATATGAGCTAAAGAAAGATTTGCATGGGAACTACTGAAAACAGTACAAGGAAAATAAGGCTTAGTGTACCGCAAGGGTAAGCGTCTTAATGTTAGGCGTTTAAATATCGTATCATTATATACACAAGATGGCATCTCATTATCGCTTCAGTTTAAGATATTGACGCCTCAATATATAGTTTCTGTGAGTATCTATACACATTTGGCATAGCTAAGTGTCTCAATGACGTCTCAATGCCTCAGTCAAATCAATTTGCTTCTCAAAGCGTCTCAATTTTGCAGTTTAAACAGGCATCAAGATGCTTTTTCTTTGTGGTCAGTTGTCTCAGTTGAGACTGTCTCAATCTAACCAAGCATGCCAATATTCATATATATATATTTGACAACATAGAATCTCGATAACGTTTCTTTTTTCTATATCACCAAGTTTAATCTGCAAAATTTCCAAGCAGCTCCATGTAAACAGACATCCACTACACAAATATATCAATACTGTGGCAATATAAACAGGGATATAAACACTCTCTCAGTAATATCGTAGGAGTAACAGTCGAGCTGAATCCAGCCTCATCATTCCTCTGTAGGACATTTTGTGATGAACCTTGAAAACTAGTCAATCTTAATCATACCATAGCGGAGGGATTTCAATATCTATTATTTGAGTTTCCCCTGGTTTATTTGCAGTCCGTCTATTTTTGCACACAAAGAAAATGAGAAAATCCCGCCCCCGAAAAAAAATAAAGTTTTTTTAAAATCCATGCAATATCTCATCGGTCCATCAAGAGGATTAACAATATTTCAGTAATGATGGCGAGAAAACAGCGAAATAAATAAATTGTTTACTCTATACGTGTTATGAAAGTCATTTAAATATCATTCAATTAAATCTACCTACTAACTTTGAACATTGGGCAAATTTTTGCCATTCAATTGTCGCGTTAAGTAAATTATAAATACTATTTTTACATAGATATTCCAGTTCACACAATTTTATCTGCCAAGTTTTCATTTCAGTCGTTAATTAAATCTAGTAATGAAAGCATTCCACACTGATTGTGTCATCCTGTTGGAAGCATGTGTCATATACTGTACAGCCAAAGAAGACGATAATAAAGTCGTTAATTAATTCTGTTTTATATCATCTTTCGTGTAAGTGGTATCAGCAGTAATTAACTGGTACGGACAACGTTCTCACTATTATTTTAGGTCTACTGTACACATTGTACGGTGCTACAAATCGACAGTTTGAAACGATATCATTCGAAGTCTCACCAGGACCCACAGGTGTAAAATACACTAGCACGTTGTCCCGTGACAACTCGAGTATAAAAGTCTTCTATCGTTGTATTTTAGCTTACTTCAATTCCATAAACCCATTTTGCAGTTAGGGTGATGTAACTTTAAAACGAATTTTAATAAGAGATAGAAAAAATATTTTAATGGGTTCGGAGAAGTTTTCGTCAAATATACTCGTATAACTATTTTTTTCTTTTCAGTTCCTTGTCGTTAGGAAACCCCAGAAACAAACAATTAATCTTAACTAAAAAACGATATACATCTAACTAAATACATTGTAATAGTACCCATGCCTTAAATACATTGTAATCAGTACTCGTGCCTTAAATACATCATAATCAGTACCCGTGCCTTAAATACATAATCAGTACCCGTGCCTTAAATACATCGTAATCAGTACCCGTGCCTTAAATACATCGTAATCAGTACCCGTGCCTTAAATACATCATAATCAGTACCCGTGCCTTAAATACATCGTAATCAGTACCCGTGCCTTAAATACATTGTAATCAGTACCCGTGCCTTAAATACATTGTTATCAGTACCCATGCCCTAAATACATTGTAATCAGTACCCATGCCTTAAATACATTGTAATCAGTACCCGTGCCTTAAATACATTGTAATCAGTACCCGTGCCTTAAATACATCGTAATCAGTACCCGTGCCTTAAATACATTGTAATCAGTACCCGTGCCTTAAATACATTGTAATCAGTACCCGTGCCTTAAATACATTGTAATCAGTACCCGTGCCTTAAATACATCATAATCAGTACCCGTGCCTTAAATACATTGTAATAGTACCCGTGCCTTAAATACATTGTAATCAGTACCCGTGCCTTAAATACATTGTAATCAGTACCCGTGCCTTAAATACATTGTAATCAGTACCCGTGCCTTAAATACATTGTAATCAGTACCCGTGCCTTAAATACATTGTAATCAGTACCCGTGCCTTAAATACATTGTAATCAGTATCCGTGCCTTAAATACATTGTAATCAGTACCCGTGCCTTA